CAAGATGACCTGTCTTGGAATGGTTAACAAAGCAACTTTGCTTTGATGCCTTATGTTATAAACTCAAAGACACAATGCAAAACAACAAATGCATACCTTTATTATCAATTGCTACTGAACTTAGACCATTCACTTTGGCATTTCCTTCTACAGAGCTTCGGTGAGCATGTTTTCTTCTACAGAGCAATATTGCAATAACAATAGACACCAATAGCAGCAATGGTCCCAAAACTGCACCTGCAATTTCTCCTTTTGACAGGCTTCCAGGCTCTAACGTAAACAAAAATTCAAAGAAAACTGTTTTTCTGGTGAACAGAAAAAAAATAAGCTGCATTTCATGAAAGAGGTTAATTTCACAAGGGTGTTTATCCTTTATTTGCTTCACTCTAAGTTGGTATCCGATTGCTGTTCATTATGGTCTTTTGTGACATGCTTCTTGATGTTTTACTTGTACCCATTCCACAAGAATATGTGAAATGCTGTGGAGTCCTCCGGGGTCCTCCTGGGGTTCATTGGTTTAGAATACTAGGGTAGGTGTGCGCCTTGGTAGCAATTTTACTGGTTGACCTAGGGGTATTTATTGGCTTGACATACAATGGACCTTTTTTGCTTGGCAAAGCCTTATTAAGATTAATTATCATTTTGATTCATAAAAAGAGAATTTACTTTCTTTGGTATAACCCTGACAGTTTTAATCTCTTTTTGTCAGCATCATAAAAAATTCTCATACCTTTTGAGAATATTCTATGCTATTGGCATTTTGATGCTTTTTGGAAGGACTGGTGCATCGGCCTATAGAGAGAAATTGTAACTTTCTTGTCCATTCCCTCCACAATATCATTTATATTTGGGGTTTTTGTAACCTCCCTTAGAAATCTTTTCCAATGAGACGCTAATGGCAGGTTGAGCAACTTGCACCTATGCAACGACAGCCTAATTCTCTCTTGTTGTGGTGGGAAAGTACCCTCAAAAATGACTTTCTTATTTCTATGGAAGGTTTTTTCTGAGGGAACACCTTTGATCTACAACTTGCATTGTAACATCTGTCCCAAGTTAGGAAAATTAATGCATTCTTACACTAAGCCCTAACAAGGAGGAAGGAGAGATTAAGAGGTAATAGAAGTAAAATCAAGTTTGATGAGTTTTGTTTTGAAGAAAAACAGGTTATAAGATGTTGTTAAAAAATTAGAAATTGGAAGCAAATCTGATGAGATTCAAAGGATTACAGATGACTGTCAAGTAAATGAGCTTTTATTTGAAAGGAGAGTTGCAACTAAGAACCATCATGTTATACACACAAAAGAATATACCTGTATGTATACTTTCAATTTTGTACTCAACTTTAGAAATATTGCATTTCACGAATTTTATCATTACATTTCAACAATAAGGCATTATAAATACCAACCTGAAATCTCCTTGCACTCTGTATTTCTAGACCCATCACACTTGAAGACAACCTTATGTCCAGCTGAGCATTTTGAGCAATTGTGGCACTGATAATGATCAAGTGTAAACATGCCCTGCAAAACCAGATTTTGCTTCACAACAAAGGTAAGTTGAAAAAAAGAATTAATGCCACTGAATAAAACAGTTCACAAACTTTTTAGCTCATTACATTTTATTTATTACAAGCTTGAAAAAATCCTTCAGGGCTGTCAGAATGAGATGTAATCTAGAGAATGGGTTCCATGAGAAGAGGAGGATGTGCAAATTTCCAAATTTTACAGAAAGTTTTTTTCTAATAGATAATAAACTACAATGAGAGTAGAACATTACCAGTGGGCACTTTGAAACATCTGCATTTTCATATTTGGAGCAGTTTCTTCGATAATACTCTCCATCCCCAGTAATCTTGCAGGGAAAACATTGATGTTTCAACTCAATGAAATATTCTTTACCCGGGCATTCACACCGCAGGTTCTCATGTTTAGAGCAACTTGCAACAATAACCTGCCCACCAATACACTTTGTATCACATCTATAAATTGTAAAATATATTTGAAACAACAACATTCTAGGAACTCTATATGCACAAAACACCTTTGGAAATTGATAATGATGTTGTTATTCAACAAAATAAATTTGGCATCAAATGAAATGTATATTTAATACTAGTTATTTGATAATATAGTACAAATATAAAAGATCATTTATAAATCAACATAATTTTACTTTTAAATTTTAATTTTCCAGAAATTTTATTTTAATGGTCCTTGTTGTTTTGGGCTGTTACTGCCTATTTCAAAAATCTGAAAGGTTTTTGTGACACAATCAGGGATCCAATTTGAGTTAGATCAAATGAGCCAAAATTTATAAGATTTGTACTTGAGTAAAATGAGACTTACGGTCTGCAGGTACCATTTTTTGGTAGAAATTGTCCCTCAGGACATGCATATGCTACCTTGAACAATAGAATGATAAATGTAAAAATTAATGCAAAAGATCATGGGAAAGCAGACGCCATCGCATCACCCAAAAGTTACAAATTAATAAATTGAAAACTTGAAAACTTACATTCTGAAAACTACTATGGTGCATAGAACTGAGAAATTCACTTAAAGAAAATAATTTATTAGATAGGCCTAGATCATACAATTCTTACCTAGGCGAAGTCTAATGTGAAACATGAACGTCAGTTTTCAAAAGCAAATTTCTTGCGGCTTGTAGTCTTATGATATTTTTTTATAACATAAGCATTGTTCTGGGAGGACAGGGGATTATTGGAAGTAGTAGTATTCGAGAAAAGAAATTAAAAATCAAAAAGCACAACGCGAATTATTAGGAGTTCCACATAATTTTTTTTAACATTGGAACTATATTTTGATGTCAGTGTAATTTTTCCATATCCCAATCATTCACATGTGCTATCAAAGAAAACTGTCAAGAAATGAAATCAAAATTAAAATTTGTATACATGTCTAGTGACCTGAATAGCAGTGGCCTGAATAGCATTACATTAATAACGGGATTGAAATATTACTTTGCCAAAGCGTTTGTAGATTATCAGATTAAGGAATGTATAATGAGATTTCCCGTTTTGGCCATGGAAATCATAACAGATCCAAATCACGAGAAACTACTTACTGGTAAAATGAGGAAAAGAACTGTGCCCGGATTCTTAAGGCTGGACTTGCCTGCCATTATTCTTATAAATCACTGCAGTACTGACAGTAGCGCCTTGCCACCAAAGTTTCCAGACTTTTCTGATAGGGATCAAATGGCTTAGGTGTCATTACTTTGAAAGGCGCTAGTAGGGCCTACAGGTTGGCCAACCAGTTATCAAACCAAAATATCTTCCAGAAATTTTACAGGTATTGGGTGCAAATAGTATATCTTGCTTAAAAAACTATTTGCTTTGAATTATATAGATGTTGGGTGATATATTAATTTAACCGAAAACGAGCCACAGAACCAACCAGCTACTTGACATTGATGACTCATAAGCTTCTATTGCACAACATGATGCAATCGAATAGAAACGCACCCCTCAGTTATGACCATGGTTACCTGACTGGTTATGACCAATCAAGTGGCGAGCGGTTGTAAGCGATATTGGTGGTTGAATCAAATCGCCATTTTCCCGAGGCTTATAGGTTGTATGTGTATAGACCTTTTCGGCTTGCCATATGTAAAAAATTAAATGTTCTTTAAAATTTGGATTATGAGATCAAGCAATCATAGAATTCAGAATTTCAATATTCAATCGTAGATTGCCAAGGTATACTGGGATGGTGTTGGTATTTCCCTACGCTGGGTTCTAGAGCGAAAGGGTTTTCAATGGGATGCAGAGAAGCTTGCTTTGGACTTATCCTGCGCACCCCAGTGTCAGGGCCCCCTGCTTGTTAATTAAATGGAATTAAGAATCGCATTGAGCAAAATAGAGAAGGGCAACCCTAACAAAGCCAAATAATGATTGAACAGCTATGGAAGAAAACATCAAGTTTCTAATATTAGCTTTTGTAAACACTTGGGAGGGGGGCAAGCAAGGGGCCAAAATTTTTCTGAGCGGGCCATGACCTCCCTTGCCGCTCCGTAGTAATGCCACTGTTTGCTTGTAACTTACGAAAAGTCCAGAAAATTTTACTTTCTGTAAAATAAACCTTAGCCTGCCATTGTTTTACCGAGGATCGTGTAGCCATGGATTCACCAGACAGCTCTTATGACTACAGCCTAGATACGTCACTGAAGTTGGTTGTATGCTACCTCTTCTTATGTCCAGTTTTCTACAGCCGACTATTGTCTATTTTATGCCAAAAGGTATAGATTTTGTTGTATCTTTTTCAAAGTGGATGCTTAGCTTGTTGTCAACAAACCAATCACAATGGGAAATAAAACCTATTACCCATTTCTGAACACAAGACAGGAGTAATCTGCATAAAAAATCAGGTCACTGCCAACTGCCTATGCTGAAGCACATCACTGACAAAGAAAATGAACGGGCCAAGAATGGAGCCTTGCGGGACTCCACATGTTAATTCTCCAGACAATAAAGACAATTTTCTTATGTTTACAAAGAAGGTTCGGTTTGCTAGGTAAATCTAAACCAAAATATTACTGAATCGGCGAAGGTGAGTCATTTTTTAAGGGAAATTTTGTGATCAATTGTGTCAAAAGCAATTTGCAAATCGATCATTATCATGCCGGTAAACATATTGCTTTCAAATCCTTGTATGATTTTGTCACTTAAATATAATAAGCAAGTATCTGTTGAGTGGTATGGACGAAAGCCGGATTGGTATCAATAAAGAATTTCGTTTGTACCCAGGTATTCTTGTACCTGTTCATGGACAGCCATCTTAATTATCTTAGAAATTTGCGGTAAAAATGAGATTGGCCTAAAAATTTTGTGGCCATCTTTGCTATCTTTTTTTAAAAGGCGTCTTCAATTTAGCTTGCCTGCAATCATCTGGGAAACGTGAAAGAGAGACGGAAAGATTGCATAGCTCTTTAGTTTGTTTTGCCAAAATTGGGGCGCCCTCCTTAATAAATTTTCCTGCCAGGGTGTAAAGTCCCATTACCCTGCTCACTAAAAGAACTCTGAGAACCGGATCGCTTTTTTATGAAACTGCGCAAAGATGCAGGTGATACAGGGAGTGGGAGGGATATTTGAGGAATATGTTGCTTTAAGACGGCAGTTCCGCCTGTTACATGGTTGAACGTAAAATATTCAGGGCTGCAGCTGGAGGTAAATGAACTCAAAACCCATAGATTATTGGGCAGGGGGAGTAGGCTAGGGCCCTGGCATTTCCGAAGCAGAATGGTACCTGAGAGTGTAAAAGCATGACTTGCGCACAGATTTAAATATAATTTTAAATCATAACAAATTCTTATACTCTCGGGCTAGATATACTGACAGAAGTCGGTAAATAGAATAATTTCCAGGATTATACAATTTTTATTGAGAAAAATTTTATTGAGAAGTATATTTAATCTTAACGGCATAAAAAGCTTTCCAAAATTATTGCTAGGTCCTCTAAAACAAAGAGGACTTGGCAAGTCACAATTTTGATCTTCGGAATGTATTCGGAATATACGGCCAATGCTGTCAGAATTATGTTTTCTTCTGCTTTTGCTTCGACACATAGAGACCGATGATAATAATGAGATGGCAGGCATGGATCGTCAAGGAACTGGCGCTTGTCGACGGATAGGTGTTCCAGCATAATTCAAGAAGACCCAAGATAAGTATTCTGGAAAAGGAAAATTGTTCAGAATCGCATTAATCATTGTTTTGAATGAATATTCTGGGGTAGGGCTGACATTAAAAAGACACCAGGAAAATTACTTTATCTTGATAATACAAAAAATGGTCCGTCGCGGTGTTCAAGAAAAACAAAGTCTTAAATAACGCCAATGGGTTTTATCTTAAAAAAATATATGAATAACAAGAGATACATTATTAAACCAACTAAAAGTTAAACAAAACTGAAGATAGGACACTAAGAAGCAATAAAAATAACTTACTTGACTGGTGTGATCAAATCTGTCCTCCATAGTAAAAATGGCAAAGTATGGAAATACCACACATAGAATTGGTAATGAAGGGACCTTGAAAAGCACATCCCAATAAAGTTGGAAGCAAATAGAATCTCTAACATACCTTTTTGCAGCTAAGGAAAATTGTCACTTGAAAATAAACCATCTCTAGTAATTTTGAGAGCGAAACAATTTAATGTAGAACTTGGGATTCTAAAAATACCTGATTTTTGCATAAAATGAAGTGGGAAATAAGTAAATCTGAATAGATTGTATTATACGTTAGTAAGATACAGGATTTGACATGCTGAAGATTAGATATAAAAACTGCAGTCAGAAGGGCATGAAATACCAGCTTATAATCAGTTATATGTCTTTACGAAACTAAAGTTATCTAGTGTAAAATGAGAGCATCGAGCCACATAATCAAAGGACATAGATCCAAGAGAAAAGAGAAGAAATTATATTGTATAAGGATACTTGTCGCGTCCAGCTTCGTTCCTACAAAGTCTCTTGTTAACAATGAAGACCAACCACTAGCCGGTCTGCCAAAAGACAACAAGATTTCAGCAAAGATCGAGCAAAAATATCGGCAAAATTGAATTACTGATTTCAAAATTCGTTGCTATAAATTCTACCGTGCCTATTACAGTGTCTTTTCCAAATTAACGACTAACAAGAGAGTGTTATCAAGGTGTACCAAGACGAAAGCAAGGCAGACATGTGGAAAATAAAAATGAACAACTCTAAGTTAACGGCAATCGTTGATATTATTTAGAAATAGAAAAAACTTCAGTTTTTCTGCAATTTATATCTTTATTAACTTGATAAATTTTCTCTTATTTTGCACCGGAACAGTCATCTTAGAATATTTATAAAACCATAAAAAAACTTGCAACAGTTTTTTGAATTTTCGGTTATTAAAAAAAATTGGCAGCTCTACTGGAATTTTGCGGCAGGTGATGCAATACTTTTCGAAGATAAGTGTATAGGGCTAGGCCTCCTGCCGAATGGTAATAAACAACGTTTGCAAAACAGGTCTGTTGATTGGCAAGGAAATTCAGCTTGAAATATAATAGTTGTTTTCTTCAAGGCAAACCTGACCTGATATCCCTCTTCCTGAAAGAATAAAAGCTAACAAATTGCACCGCCTACCTCGGCCACTTCTTAATCCAAAATGTTATCAGAGTTATGATGTGCAGCAGGAGAAGTGCAAAATGAAAGTATCTGTTCAGAAAAAGCCATTCAGGTAAAAATCTCCAGTTGACTGTCCACGTGAAGAAGAACTGTCTTCCAAGGTCGAATGAGCGGGCAACGTAAGCAACAGGATTTGTAAGCAAAAACGGTAGACCAAGAAGAATCTGGAACGCAGAATGATAACAAGATACGCATATTGCAGAAAAGCAGGGCATTTAAGATCGAGCTCGACAAAGCGAGGGAAGCACGAGAAAGGGATGTTATAAACCTTTTGCTATTGTTTCATGTACGTGAATTAACGTTTTTTGCAAAAAGTGGCTAAAGCTCCACAATGCCCCCCTTGCTCCGCGGTGCCTGTGGTCGTGCGTAGTTAACCAATTGTAAAACATAATCTTCTTTTCAAGACCTTGTTAGTTACTCATTTGTGACTCCTTAAAAAAGGCATGATCAGAAACCGTGTGTCACACTCAAAGAGCTTATAGAAGTAAGTTATAAACAAATCACGTGGAGATGCCTTAAACAGCATCAGGCAGTAAACAGCAGACTTGAAAACTGTAATTTAATCACCCAAGGACGAATGCAATAAATTGTTTTCTTACCTGCACAAGGGCACATAGTGAAATTTTGAGGACTGCCTGAGGCAGACCAAATGTGTTGAGAAGCACCAAAAGCAAGCCAGGAGCAAACAGGAGAATGTTCATTTTAACACTTACAGCCAAACTGCAAAAACGAAAATGCTTCTTTATGCTATTTTGAAATTATGTAGTAAAAAAAGCTGTATAAAAAATTATGTGAAGGAGAAAATGATAACTTGTTGTTTACGGGTTGTTTACAAGACCCTGCTGCAGAATAGAGACTTTCAAACTGACAATGAGTCACCCCTAGCATATAATACCTAAAAAATAGAATGCCATAAATGTCAAATGAACTTTGAAAACAAAGTTTGGAATGGCATTGGGCTCTTACTCTAAAGTGGATGTGTAGATAGAGTGTTTGAGAAAAATCCTTAACAAACAGTACAATATTTTCAAATTCTTTTAATAAGCAAAAAACAGTTGCTTATTTGTAGTAAAATTAAATAACATACACTCATGTGTATAATCATCCAAATTCTTACTTTTTACATTCATTTGATATATGTACCTGCTTTGAATTTACATTTAAAATTTCACTCCTTCATATTTTCATAACATTTTAGTTTCTATTTATCATTTAATATTTCAATGCACATAATTCACCAGTTGGTCGAAACACAGCATACAGATTGAGCAAGCGAGCTTGAGTTCTACGAAAAGATAAGTCCCCCCTTCTGAAAGTGTTTCAATTCTTCAAAGGGCTACAACAGCACATGGAAAGGTAGAACATGTTCGGAAGAGGCTAGAACATAATTTTGGGTTGAGATGGGAAATCTTTGTACCAATACATGCATGCAAGTGTAAACATGTGCCTGTAAATGACCAACGCATTTTAAATTCAACAAGTGCTTTTAAACAGAAATTCATGAACATAAACATATAAAAATATGTGTGTAAATAAAGATGTAATTAATATGAACAGAAGGAAAGAGTAATAATGTTTAAAAAGCAGGTGCATATAGATGAATGAACTGAGAATATGAATTATAAAACACAATAATTTAATTCATTTAGTTGGTGAAAAGGCAACCGTAACTTTATCTCAACCATAAGCATTTATCTAAAATCTGACCAACCTACTAAAATAAATGAGAGATCATTTAGTCACCTGTACAAAATGCAGCCAACATTCCAGTGTTCCTTAAACATGCAGCAAAGTGAAACATAGAACAGAAACATTGCAACTGGATCATTGAAGAGTCTCAGGATGAAAATTGAATGGATACGATAGGATGCACAGCATAAGAAAAAGAAGGCATAAGGTGGAACCTAAAATTTAAACAGAGTATATGACAAGAACGTCTACTTACTCTGCAACTTATTCTGTCCATAAAAATCAGAAATTTATCTTTTTGAAACACAAATTCAGAATTCCTTTTATCAAGGTGGGCTCAAACTGTACAAAATGAAGCAGATCCTTCATTAAAATGGAAAATTAAGAAGGCATCTTTCCAGTTTTTCTTTAGAACGGGTTCTTTCATTTTGAATTTATTTTGGTCCTGAAAAATGGCCCGTTCATTAAAAAAGATCATTTGACAATCTTTTACCAGTAAATACAGTAGGCCCAAATTGCCCAAGATGTGTAAATATTGCACATAAAAAAAAACAAAAAAATTGTGACAAAAAAATTATTGAAAATTCAACAGCCTAAGATTTTAAAAATCATTTGTAAAGCAGTGGGAGGCCATATTCAATTTAAGGGCAGCTCTGCAAGATTATTAAAGTATTCTTATAATATTTAATTAATAATTGTAAAATGCGTAATTGAATAAACATGCTACCTCAAAAAGAGATGGAAAACTGTCTGGACATAAATAAGCAGCAAATTACATAAAGTAATTTAACAGCAACGTCACAATTTAGTGACATACTCTACCATTTCTGTATTATCATGGACAGTAGCTGCCAGATCAAATGGTAAGATATTTTTTTTATGAACAGCTGCTATGATAAGAACAGTTTCTCCTTCAATTTTCTTGATTTCTGTTCAGTTTATAATACAAATGATATCATTTAAAGCAGTACTGAATAATTTTGGATAGCAGGAAAAAAACAACAAATAAAAAGTCCTTCATATGGCCCCAAGAGTAATCAAAAAGCCCAAAATGCTCAACACAGCTTACAAAGAATGATCTAAATATCACTGGGCAAGAAAGGCTGTCTCATTTAGAGGTATTGAGAATAATCTACATTGATCCTCATTTGAACATTTCTAAATAAATCCTGATTTGCAAACATTTGTTCTCCTTTTCTTAAACTTTCTAGGTGATAGGTTAACATTTTGTAGAAATGTAAAAATGGAACCAATCAAACACACCCTAATAACACTCAAACTATGAAACTTTGCATTTGAAGATAAGTTTTATGTCACCTCCTGGTCATTTTGAGATGAAAAGGATTGTAAAATGTGCAATCTATTCAGTGCAGAAAACACTTGAGGAAAATAAATACATGCTACCTTAAAAAGAGATGGAAAAAATGTCTGGACATAAATAAGCAGCAAATAACAGATAAATTCAATACATATGCAGCAATAACAATGTCTTACTGTTTTGCTTCTGTGATACAAATAGAAAACAGCAACCAGAAATGCTATGTATAGCACTGCAAACACGTATTGAGCAAGTCTTATATTCAAGCCATGTGAAGTTAGGAAATAGAATCCACTGAAGATGTAGACAAAACCAGCAGGATACCTAAACAAATTGCATCATCAAAAAACCTTAACTTAATATAGAAAAAAAATACCTCACAAACTGCAAGTGAAGTCATTTCTTGTTAGATATGCCAGAAGGAATATAGGCTGGTTTGGCAGTCTGCCAGATTTTTTACTCTTGAAATATATAATATTAATGATAGACAATTGGCAGAAAAATCTAATAAAGATATATATATAATTTAAAACCAAAATTTAAAAACAAAGCCAAGTTAAGCAATAATTAGACATTGCAAAAAGGCCTTTGTCTGAATAAATGTGATAAATTAGTCAAAAATAACTTGCAAAATGCATACTAGTAAAATGAGCAAAAAAGTGTGACTGATGTAGTTCATAGATGGCAGTTCAAAGTATGTCTTATTTCTTTGCAAACAAGTTTCATTTGAGGTAAAAAGTCATGTGATTCAACATTTACTACTTACACTAAGGGACCAGTTGATCCTTTTAATTGGTAATAGTCATATGTTCCATTCAAAAAACCTTCAACCTCTTCCATGTAGGCTTCCCAATCAATCTCTGTATCTAAAGAGAAGATAGGACATAATAGTTATAAATTATATGGGCATAATGATAAAAGCGATAGCAGGCCTTACTCTAAACAAAATGAAGGTGCTCCATAAAAAGAGCCCCTTAGAAACTCTAGGTGCTCTATTTCGCACCTTTAAATAAAATATCCTTGAGAGCATCCTTCAAGAACTTTGGAAGATCAAGAGCTTCATATCGAAAGCTTTGGAAGAGTGTTAAATAAGAAATTTAATGGTGATACCAAAAAGCACCATAATATGAAATAACAAAACATGCAGCAAACACTATGTTAATACAAATATATAAATATAGGAAAACGCATGGCTTTAAGTCGAACATTAGCTTTGTTTCCCTTTTTATGCTATTCTTTCTGTAAGACTCACTAGAACATCTACTACTCACGAAAGCAAATGAAAAATGAAAAGCAATGCGGTAATTTGGACGGAAACGTGATCTTTGATTTGCAAAGGTGATTCTAAATTATTAAGAAAAAACAGAAAATAATACTTCAACAGAAGATTAACGCTTGCTTGAAAATCAAATAAATCTGCCGGAGAATACGCTTGATGACCTGTGTCCTTGGTGGTTATTAGAGGGTTATTAGATTAAAAATGGTATCAAAAACCAAACGTTGAATTTGCTGAATTTTTTTCTCAAGGGATGATACACAAATCATAATATTTCGGTCTATTGGGAAGATTGTTTATGCTTGATCAAGTTTATTAGACAAAGGCCAATAAATTATTTTGCTCCATGGTAATATTGTTTTTACGTTTTGAGGGGCTCTATAAATCGCTCTCCAAGGCTTCTTTTGGGTGCGCTCTAGGCGCGCGCACTCGATCGAGCGCCTTTCCGGGCAAGGCCTGCGATAGCCCTCACTTCTCCATTAAAATCTTCTTCTAAATGAAAATAAGGATAGTTTTTTGTGTGGATATGAAAGTGTTATACTGAGTAATCTTCAACCATACAGAACCTTTTCATACTCAAATTTGAGAGCATGTATAATGACTTGGCTATGTGTAGCTGCAAGTAATGCGAGTTGAAAATAGCATGAAAATAGCATGCCAGCATAATATTTTGATCCTTTTGGTAATAAGAAGATTTTGGCCTGTTGGTTGGATCTGTACTGTTAGGCTTGTGTGTAGGAGCCATCAAAACATCTTTAAACCAGTCTTGGCCACTAACTTTCTGACCCTGTTCCCTCTTTTCCTGAGCATTACAACCTCTTACACCCCCAATAAACAGTGAAGTGTGTCATTATTTTCAATTCGTCTGAGATCAAATGCAGACACAATATCAGTCTTGGGGAAATTTGAAATTACCATAACAACATCAACAAATGATTGCAATTAAATTTTTATTTTGTGTGCATTGCTCATGTGATAAAAAGCAGCACAATTTATTCATTTGACTGCAGTATAAAATATAGAATATTCTGCATCATATTATAGTTACATATCTGTATCAATTGTGGTTTTACTTCTTCCTGAATGAGTCAGTGTCAAGAGGCCCTCTTGTCTCTTTGGTTTGGCACAAACCTAACCCATGAGAGTTTTATTTGAACAAAATATATCTTATCCACAAACTGGCAAGCCAGACTGCATTCTTTGTAATGCACTAAGAACATATTCTCTGCGCAACCTAAGGTGGTTCTGAAAACATCTATATGTGAAGATATTTTAAAAATAGCAAAAAATAATTTTTAAATAGTTTCATGCTTGTTTTAGCTAATTCTTGTCAGTTAGTTGCTGTTAATCTTAGTCTTTTAGTGATTATTCTTGTTTTTGTTATGTTATTTTTATTGCTAATTCAGGATTCTAAACTAATAGTGGTTTTTAAAAAATCTTGTCATACAGAAGTATCATTAATCACATCTGCCCCATGCAAAACACAGAGAATGCAGTATGGTTGGCAAGTCAGTAGGCAAACTTTTCCCCTGGTAGAAGAAGTAAATTTATTCCTTATTTATGGCTAGAACTGGTCTGCAGAGTTTGGCAGTTTACAAGGAGATCAGCAAACAAATGTCTGGTCCCTTGGATTCTGCCTAACTCCATATAAATTCCCTCAGTATACATTGAATCCGCATTTAACTAACTCTCGTTATTACGAACCTAATTGTAGGTCCCTTTATCATAATTTTCCTCGATATGACAAACTTCTCTAAAAAGATTCACCGTTTTTTGGTCTATTTTTTCCCTGTGAATATTTATCACTATTTCTCAGGGGAATTATAATTGTCAGTGACAAAACATACATTGGCAAACATGCACTTTCTATGATGCAAAAATTGGAGAAGAGATTTGTGCAAAAGTTTACCCCTTTTCAAGGCTTTATGACATTTCAGTGAACAAATCCAAACACAGAAGACTATAGGAGACATTTTTGTATTTGAATTCTTTAAGGAACATTTAGTGTTGTGAACAAGATTTTCATTTTTGATCCCTAATTTAGCAAAAGTAGCGGATTTGCAAACTATGCAATAAAAAATAGCAGATTTGACGATTTCGCTACTCCCCTACAGCTCCTCTCTTTAGACTTAGCTATGCTTTAAATCTAGATTTTGGCGACATTCAATTTAATGAAAAATGGTCCATGTTATCTTTTATGCATATACTTGGATTGTCGACATACCTATGTCCGGTGAAGTACATAAAAATAAGAGGACACACCCATGTAACGCCCAGATCTCTAAATACTACACCCTTTAGCAGGCGTGCAGGAACATTTTAGAAAAAAATATCTCGGGTGTGCACTTGCCATACTCTCCAGTCTGGGGCTGGGAAAACTTACATTTTACATTTCTTATTACAATAATATTCACGAAGATCTCGGCAAATAAAAGGCAGCATGCAAGAATCCATGCGAGCTTTGGTTCAAATAATACATCCTTGGTGATATTCAACAAATCTTGTACTGTCAATCCCTTAAAATATTGCTTCCAAGGTGCACGTTTTCCACTTTTCCTTACTGGCGCCATTGTTTTTTGTGTGACCTCGGTTCAGTTCATCGACCTCTTTTTCAAAAACAGTTTCAAAAGAAATAATCACATTTTTAGCATTTTGGCACAAATATCAATGTTGGGAGGCATACATGGGAAAAAACAAAAAGATGTAAAATCTAGTTTTAATGAATGCAAGACAAAAGCTTGCGACAGAAAAATAGGATTATGGTGTCGTCATGACTTTGGCTGACTGTGGCCTTCATTCAAGGCCTAAAACCCTCGTACCCCTGTACTTGCAGCCTCTAGCTCGTGTAGTCAGAAAACTTTCAAGATGGCCATGACGATGCAAGCAACTGTTAGAATGAACTCAATAGGTGCGGATTCAGATATCTATCCAGATTGGTATAATGCTGAACACAAGACTGGGGTGAGTACCTATGTCAAAAAATAGTTGCAAAGAATCTGGATAGAAAGTAGGAATGCATAAATGTCATACAAATCCTTAATTGTGGACTAATTACCTTACCTCTCTGCTAAAAATGCTTCTTCCAGTTCCATACCTAAGCCATTTCAAATGATTATTAAAATTTTGTAATGTTTTGGCAAATGATCAGTAAATCAGGTTTTAATCCTTTATATTCAAATTTTATGTTCGTTCAAACATTTTTAGACTACCATCATGGCAGTTGAATATGATGGAGGAGTGGTTTTTGGTGCAGATTCTAGAACAACAACAGGGTATGTCTTCCAGTCTTTTTTTAAAATATTTTCATTGTAATAAGCTACAGTGTGCAATATTAGCTTTGGTGATACTTGGTTTGGTTTTCTTTAAAAATTTTTCTTCAAAAGATACCTTTTACCAATCTGGATTCAACTCCAATGTTGGAACTGAATTATTGTTAGAATTCTGCAGACCTATGGCTCTAATAAGAAATGGAATAAACGAACGAAACCTTTTCACTACAGAAAAATATTATAACAACAATTAAGCAAGACTTTACTGCTAAACAATGTGCTAAAAGATAAAACAAAAGAGGTGTTACTGATCACAACAACATGTCAATCAACTAAACAGATAGGTGTTCATTGTTCCTGTGGCGGGGTAACTAAAATCTAGTAATGTAAATATAATCATCATAATTCCAACAACTTCTTTTCTTTCACCTTTACATAACATAACAAGCATAACAAAATACTGCAATGTAGGCTAAGAGCCTTACAAATTGTTAATCTGAATACCTGTTGTTGTTTGTTTTTGTAGACGATGGTCTCAAAAAACCTTTATGTAGTTAAAAACAGAAACAGAAAACCCTAAAATATGCCCAAGTACTATCTAAAAACACTGACTTAACAAATACTGGATCACATAAGAATTTTCTGTCTCCACAATAATTGTCCAGTTTCTGTTTGAATAAGTTCAATGATTTGGCATCTACTACATCTCTTGGAATACGGTTCCATTCATGCCCAACCCTGACACTGTAGATGCGCTTCATGTCCCCTCGTTTTCCCACAGTTGTCCATTTTCAACACAGACTTTATGTCATAACAGGCGTGTATATATTTTTGTATGTCGCAATCATGTCCCCACGGAACCTTTGGTAAACTAAGCTTGGAAGACTTAATCTCTTTAGTCTCTCTTCGTATCCAAGATCTGCCTTGCTAGTGTCTGGTCAAAATATTTCTCATCATAAACTTTGCTTTTTGCTGTCCACACTCACTTTAGCTCCATTGCTCACCAGATATACTGTAATTGTGTGCATCCATTACTCTAATGACTATCTGATAAATATTAGCAATACTAATTGAGGTAACTTGGGCATGCTTTGTTCTGAGCAAAATTTTCTAAGAATTTTTACTGCAGTTTAAAATTTGAACACCAGAAATGATTTGATTTAATTTCAATTTAGCATTGGTTTCAAGTGAACAATTATTCGATGAATTTTTAACCTTAGAAGCAATGTACCCAATTTCGCATTTTATATGAATTTTGAAAAAAGATGTCTAGATTTTTTGATAGATAGATAGATTTTTTGAGAAAGCTCCCTCCTGACTTTGATAACCTCTTTGGAAAAGTTTTTGCAGCGTGCAACTTTCAATGACTCTTGAATCAAAACTTAAACCCATGTTGAATATATTCCTTTCCCCTAGTAATGCCTTGCTGCCTCTCTGCATGATGAAATAAAACAACCACATATTTGAATGATGAAATGTTGTGCCCTTAACTCTTATGTTTGAATGTATAGGCCTACATACAGGGGATATAAATTTTATCCTTTTGTCATAATACTGGTTTTGAACTTATAACACTATTTGGTATTGAATCAATTTTTGTTTTATGTCTTTTGCTCTGATTATAATTTCAATTGGAAAAATGTTTTCATTATGTGTTCAAAGTTGTATTTCTTTTTTTAACTAGGGCATATATAGTGAATAGGGTAACAGACAAGTTGACTCCAGTTACTGAAAACATATTTTGCTGTCGATCTGGATCAGCTGCAGACACTCAAGCCATAGCAGACCAAGTAAAATATAATCTTTATCTACTCAGGTATGCTTACACCTTTCTTGACTAATTTTTTTCTTCAAAAAACAAATGTTTTTTTACTTTTGAAATGAATATTAAACACACTCTTTGCTTATTTGAATAGTGAGGGGAAAATGCAGATTTTTTTCAAAAATTTCCTTTCCTCCCTCACAATTCACATTTTTTGGAAAAAATCTTGTATAGTTACAGAGTAGCCCAGATATCTTCCATTAACAACCAAAGATGGCCATCCATTCATAAAGCGATTATTTTTTCAGAATGACAATCTAGTTCACATTTTTTAACCACAAAAAGGGGGAAATGCACATATGTGGTCAAAAAACTGTGCACCTCTCAATTACCAAAGAGTGTTAATTTGATTCAATAAATTGGTTAATACTTCTTTGAAATGATTTCTGAAATTAAGATACATCATTATTACAAGAAGAATAGATCGGTCAATACGATATAAATACAGCTAATAGATTCAACATCCACAGAGGTCATGTTTCTGTATTGTACTGAATCATGATTGTGCAGAGCTTTGTTGAATTACAAATACAAGCTCCCAGGAACAGGTACTTAAAATCAATGATTTCCATATCAAGTATCTTAGAAAAATCCTAAAATCCACAAAGGTAGTTCATCCCCAATGTGTTGCCATTTTCATTGAGATCTGTGCCAATGTCTTTCTGTCCCTTTTCTCAATAAAACTGGTCCCCGTAGTACACGCTATAGAAAAGATATCTCTTGTCATCACCTTGGCTTCCTGGCTTGCTGAATTTCTTCAACTTCCCCTCCCCATTATTTGTTTATTTTTTATTGCTGTTAGAATTCATTGAACTCTCGGAAATATCTTCGTCATAAGAGATTACTTAGTTTTCTTTTTTTTCTGATAGCTACTTTCTCCGGTTTCCCCCCTCCTGTAAATTGCTGTAACTAAATTGAATTGAATCATTAATTAAGTTGACTCATTAGTATATTCCATGAAAGTCATCTTTTGATCTGTATTTTTAAAGGAATTTTTAGAAAGGCAAATTGCTCTAAGGGGGCTCTAAAGAGTCAGTGTCTTTTATAGCTTGCCTCTTCATGAAAAAACCGGGTTTTATAAAGAGAAATTTATCCAAATACTTCCCAAATCCACATGGTTGTGGAGTTTTAATTCAGTCTTACATGTGCCACTTATTACAAGAACAGACACAGTCTATTTTCTAAGGAAAAACATAATTTTATGGTGCGCATTTTTTCCCCTCACTTATGAAATTCTGTGGTTAAAAAATGCGCAGACCCCTCTAAGCATGTCTCTTGGGAGGAGCAACAATATTTGTTTATAGGCAACGACCTCAACACTGAAGTAATGTTATGCTGTGACAAAACCTTTGGAATTCAGTCAATGAGCTGAGAAATTGAAAATTTTACTGTTGTCATCGAAAACTCGATATTTTCATGAATTGCAGCTTCCACTTTTCAAGTACACAATGAAAAACAAAAGCTCACTATCTTTGGATTTGGTATTCATTGAAACTATCATCAAAGGTTTGGTTTATCATACCATATCTCAAACTGCTTGTTACTCCTCCACAATGGCGAAGAAATAGGTGTGCAATTTTTACTCCCAAAATTGCCATGCGCATTTTTTCCCCACACTGATCATACATAATTCCTTAGAAACTTTGCTTCATTTTAAAGGGTCCTTGATCCTTGTGTGTACATGTTTGACTAGATAAAATTCTATAAAAATACCTTTCTTTATTCTCATTGCCATTCAGTCCCACTTTAAAGGTTTAATGTATTTTTCTGTAGAATGGAGTTGGGTGAGCAGACTACAGTAAAGACTGCGGCTAATTTATTCAAAGAAATATGTTATGCTAAAAGAGACAGTGCTGTTGCTGGAATAATTGTTGCAGGCTGGGATGAGAAGTCTGGTGGCCAAGTAATTATTGAAAAGTTTATTTGTTCATTCTGATGTTTATTCTGAATGATTGAAAAGTTTATCCTGATGGCAAAATTATTGCTAATGTTATCTTTATTTTGTTGTTGGTCATTTCAATCTGTTTACCTTTGTGTCTTGTTTATCATATTCTCATAGAAATGGCATTAGAACTCTTTACAATACAGTACTGTTAGAACTATTTGTAAACGTACGTACTCAAAGCTCAAAAGATGACATGTTTGCTTCATATAGCTCTGCAAAAAGACAGCCTGTAAATTTTGGTTTATTTTTCTGATTCGGCAAGTTACCTCTCATTGAAAATTCAATCCAACCAATTAGCAGTGATATAAATGTCTAGCCTTGTTATTCATTTGGCATTTGTACAATACTTTGCAGGTATTTACTGTGCCTCTTGGTGGCATGTGTGTTCGGCAACCATTTTCAATTGGAGGTATGTGTTGCTTCATGCTTGATATTCCACAATCTACAGCAAGCTTTCAATGTCTTGTAATGAAATAAGAAATGCCTTATGAAATTATCAACCTACCTATCCAGTTTTTAAGTCAGTTTCAAACATCTACACTACATCCTATATTTTTGCCACAGTCATTTTAACATTTTAACAGTTTGTTGATATGTAACAGTCTAATCTAATACCTTATCTGGTAATTATTCATTGCTTGAAGGTTTCATGTATTTGACTGAAAGATTTGCTTATGTGCTTGCAGATACATTTTGAGCATAGCAAGTTTGTAGTTTTGATTAATTAGTGAGGTTTCCTGTTTAATATGAATAAACTGCTTAGAGATTTTGGCTTATCAATATTATTTCTATACATTTTTTGTTATTGTATTAGTTTATTGAATGTTAGTTTTTAGAATAGTGAACATACACAGATCAAGATTAACATAAAGCAGTTTCAAGGATTCAAAAGACAGATCACTTACTATGTTGCATCATATGTTGCACTTACTGCAAAACAAGCACGCACACTTGTTTTCAAGGAACCCAATTTCCATCGAATTCTTGAATTGTGTAGTATTTAAGGCTGTTTTATTGATTCTAGGCATGAATTTCAGATTTTTGGCCCTTGAAAACTTAATGATCTGATGCCATTGTTGGTGGATCTGGCTTTTGAAATGTCAAAATAGTTTTTGAGTTCAAGTTTGTGACCAGTTGTTTTAGGTTCAAAATAATCTTTCACATTAGTTTATTCATTTTAACTTAAAGGTATATATTAATACAATAAAATAGGTAAGGTAAGGTAATAGTGCCTCTAGATGGTCAGGCAAGTTTAGGCAATATTATGGGTTCCTCAGAAAAACTGTTGAGCAACTAAAGCACTGACTTTATTGCATTGGGATAGGAAAAAAATAAAAGTATGATATGATATATTAAAAGCTTAATAGCTTAAAGTATAATGACAAATTTTTTCAACCCTCCCAGCACAACTTATGCAGAACCTGTGGCTTGAGTAATATACATGTATGTATACTGTAAGACTAAATCGATCTTTCAGGATCTGGGAGTACTTACATTTATGGGCATTGTGATGCAACATACAAGCACAACATGACAAAAGAAGAATGCTACAGATTTGTTGCCAATGGTCATTATCATGTTTTTCCTATCTTCATGCTATGCCTATTTGCAATGTGTTTTCAACTTTTTTCAATTTATCGACATCTTCATGAAGTTTTATTTGGTGGCCTTTTTTATTTCTTTGCCAAGGTAAATAAGACTAGATGTTGGTTCTACGTTTTGGTTACCCGATAATTAATAGCTCTATGATTATGGAATAACCCAGGTTTTAATTTCTTTCAGATTAATTTCCCCAAATATTGCTCCAATGTGAAAACTTAGACCCAAAATATTGACATTGGAAGGTTTATCGTGCGACTTGTTTGAACTTCGCCTAAACTACAAACGTTGTTCTGGGGGTGGAGGGGAGGGGCAGGAGTAGTAATGTTTGGGAAGAGAAATTGAAAATACAAAGCCAATTGTTGATGTTAGTATTTCGAAAAAGGGCCAAATCTAGGAAAACGGCGCCCGTTTTGTCAAATATGACCGCTTTGATAAGTTTGATTCTTGGTGAAGGCGAACAAAGTTTGTTTCCTGTCTTGTAATAGTTACAAATGCGCTGATACAATGGCGCTGACCAGCTTCTGCTGAGGGACCTTTTCAAGTATTCATGTCACTTTTTGCGATAACGACAACCAGAATCCAATGTTGTGTAATAGAATTTCAAAACAATTAAGCTTGTCTAAATATAATATTTTGAATTTAAACCTGACTAAATATAATATTTTGAACTTGAAGTTGATTTAATTGGCTGTCTCAAAAGTCATTGCATTGTAAGAAATATTCCTTTATAACAAACACCCTAACTTTCCCCATTTTGTTAACATTTCAACGAAACTAAGCTTCAAATATTTTATTTTTTGTTGCAGCTGTTGCTTTAGCGATGTTCCGAGATGGCTCATCTGGAGGTGTTATCAGGATGGCTGCTGTTAACAAAGATGGCGTCGAGAGAAGAGTTCTCACTGGCAACGAGATACCGAGGTTTTATGAAGGCCAGTGAAGAAAACTGTTTCTAATATTGTTTCACCATTCTTAAGAGAAAACGTTTTGTTAGTTAAATAATATTTGTTCTCAAATGATCTCTTATTGTCACTTCATTTCTCCTTCCAGTATGTAAAATCGACTCAAAAGGGGACCTACATCGTTCTTAATTATTCTTATCAACAGGAGTTTACGACAGACATTGCACTTATTATTTTTTGGCGTTATGTTTTAACATTAAGTTTCAACTAGCTCAAGAGACTTTCTGTACCCTCCCCAAGGTTTTGCAAATGTTCCTTTCAGGAGGGATCCCATGATAGAATTTACGATAGAAAATGATTTTGCACGTGATAGAAGTATGTGTTTTGGTAACCAGGAGTCCTGTTACATTATCCCTTTCATAATTGAAAGATCAAATCTTGCTTCTGGCTCTGTCACTTGATGGGATGATCAATGAATGCATAGTTAGTATTGATTTCGAAGTATCTGAGCTCGATTGATTGAGCGGTGACATCCATTTGCACGATCACGATGATTTACACGAAGCTAAACGTCTCCACTAGACGTCATTTCATAAGCCTCATCTGTCCCTTAACCTACAATGCATTCTTGCGTTGTCCCAGCATCTGCATAAACACCTGCCTGGTTACAGTCGCTTTCTTGCAAGATCGTTGTGACCGTAGCAATAAATTTCAGAATACACTACCCGATAACTAGTGCTACGACGGAATAAATACTTTAACTTTGATAAACACAAGCTCAGGTTCCTTAAATGCTTCTTGTCCCACAAGTTTTATTCAACAGCTATACCTTCCAAAGCGCAAAGGGAACCTGGAAATACATGCTGAAAGTGTTTCTATCCTACAGTACCCTCGGGTATTGTTATTGTTTGTGGCACCCGGGATTCATTAAATTGATATTCAAAATATGATGCTATGCTCCAACAGCCGCGTTCCTCATGTGCAGGTGCGTTGAAATTATCTAACATTGACAGGTATGCCAGCACTATCAACTTAAGCAGGTTTAAATTCAATACATCTATTTTTTGGGTGCACCCACATTACAGCTTTAGATGCTACCATGGCTGCATCTTGGGTCAGCAGACTGGGCTCTCTCTAACTACTGCATTTCTCATCTATTTGCTTTCTCTTTGGCTAATTCCCTTAAAAACATGGTTTTTCCTAGATACAGTCCAAAAGGTCTTGTCACTAATCTCCAGGTTTCTAATGTCCAATAAAAAAGCTTGTTTTTACCGCTCTCAGCGTTGATTGCAATTAACTGAGAATCATTATATAGCGGGAAGGAATGACTGTAAAGATTTTTGCTCCGGTAGCTCCTCGCATCAAAAAAATTTAGGCTGCACATTTCAGTAGGTTTTTGACACATCAGTCTTCCTGGCAATGACTGGTATGTGATTATGGACAGCAGGAACTACGTGGGACTTGTTTTAATGTATCTCAAGAAAGCTTTTGATACAGTTGACCATAATACCTTAACCACAGAATAGAAATTACATATGAACTCTGTTCCGTGATCTTACTAAAGGAGTATGTGGAGCTGATGGACCAAAAAAGTATTGGTTTCATGTCATATTGGCAAACAGAAAATATTTCTGCAGTTAAAATAGTGTACCATCTAAACTAGAAAATGAAACTTATAGTGACCCAAAAGGCTCTTTTCTTGACTGGTTTTTGTTCCTAATATACATATAACATATAATATACATATACATAGTAGACATACTATGATAAACGATCTGTCCTTTTGCCTTCCGAATAGCCAGTTGACTAGGTATGCAGATGATACCAATCTCTGGTACGCTTCAAAGGATATATGCAATCTTAATCAAGCTTTTGATAGAGATTTATATTGCCTCAGGGACTGGGTAGAGGGCAATAGGCATTTCTTTAACATTATTAAAACCCAGGCAATGATTGTTGGATCGCAAAATAAGCTGAAGAAAATATCTGACCAGCTGGCTGACTTCACTTCGTTTCAAATCGGTGGCTGTGAGGGGGAGATTGTTTCCATAAATTGAGCATAAATGTTGCGGGAGACGCCGTGTGGTCACAAAAAAATCAAAGTCAAGAAATTTTTCCCATTGAAAATTTTCAATCATGGATTGATATTTTAACAGTTTTATACACTTTGCAAAATGGTAAACAGTTTTGAAGGAAAAAAAAGGTTTGTAGGAAAGTACCCCCTTTCACTGCAAAACTATTTTTAGCATAATGATGTTGTGTTAGGGGAGCCCAAGCTTCCCTTTCAAAATGTAACAAATTACTTCTGATTGATATGAATGTCTGGGGTATTTTTATAATGCAGGTCTTTTATAAAATCCCTACATTCATCAAGATGCAGGAATTGCCATTTTAATGTTCGCTTATTTATGAACAGGGGTGCCGAAAGTATTTTGAGACGGCGGGGGCAGCTATTCAAAAAGGGCACATTTTCAATGACTTATATTAGCATTGTAACAAAAAAATGATATAACATAATCCTTTGGTACCGATAAAACGTTTAATTTAAAAGGCCAGTCGAAAATTTCCTATTCTGTTGTTTAATCTTTCGCTGAGGGGGGGGGGAGTACCTTAACATGTTTGAAGTTAGGGGGACGTGCCATTTTCAGGCTCAGACTGTTGGCTGTCGTGTCCTATCACGATGCATTATGCTAAAAGTGCGTTCTGCAGTTGCAGATAAAAGTGCAAATGAATTGCACAATTGCATTGCAATGACTTGTGAGCTCTGGCAAGCATTCTTTATGCCATTCAATTGAAGTCATTATTGATCAAAGGGTTTCCATCTTTGTTACCTTTTTTATTGGTATGGCAACTTCTTTTTAATAAACTCTGATGACTTTGCTAAAGTTGCCCTCATTTTAAAAAGCTTTTGGATTATTCCAATTGAATCTTCTACTAGTCAACTTGGATAAATGTTATACATAAGATTTTGGCCTTTCTTTAAAATACGCTGTGCAGTCTCTCTACCTGACTCCAGGCGCTTCAAACCTACCCAACAAGAGAGCAACGAACGATTAACTTTCTGGCCTAAAAATAGCATAGAACGATTTTCTGACTCAGCCTGGTGCAAGAAACATCAAGTTACAAAACCTTTGTGAAAACAGGCAGGCACGAAATAATATGCATGCCTATCTTATCTCATTCTAATGACTTTGCTAAAGTTCCCCTCATTTCAAAAAACTTTTAGATTACAACAATTGAATATTCTACTAGTCAACTTGGATTAGTGTTACGTATTGCATTAGTGTTTCACGTGCTGTGCTATAGTCCGTTAATAGGTCCCCCATCTCAGTTTTCCCTTAAGACCCCAGATGCCTCCGTTACGCCACTCACCTTATTCTACAGTAACTTCCTACATTTTAGATTGTCGCCAAAAGAAATAGCATTATTGCATATAAGTTCATAGCAAATTAATCCAATGTTTTAATTGCCTTCATTTTGTTCCTAGCCGCACTAATGCTTTATCTCTCCCAAGAACTCGGGAATTTATATATTTATTCCATTCGCATAAACACAGTACAATTTTCATAAAGGCACAATGTTGCCCCCGCTGCTCCCGTAGAGTCAGGGCAGGGGGCAACTGCCCCCGTTGCCTCCGTACCTCCGGTGCCCGTGTTTATGAATCATTACAATATTATCAATTATACACGAATGACAATATTTCCCATTTGCTTGCCTTTTGAAACAGTTTTGTTAATAATGTCCTTTATAAGAAGTGCCACCCAGAGGGGGGAGAAGGGGGAACATTTATCTAGGGCCTTCACTTCTAGGGAGCCTCATAGAGTAATAAATTCCATTTAAGGAATGGACCTAATCAAACGTAGCAAAAGTGTAAAAAATAAATATGAATGTAAGTAAATTGTCCCGTATGCCGGGGCGAAATATTAGCCTTTACTGACTTACGTGTTTTATTGTTGTTTATTCTCGGCGTATTGTGGTGTTTCATAGTTGCTACATAAGTAAATTGTGCCAGGAATAAATAATATATCAATGGTAGTAAACGTGTTTCTAAGAAAGTAAAATACTTGAAAAGATTGTAAGAAAGGACTGCAATAATTATTCAAAAATGCATTTTAAGCTAATTTTAAGGGACTGGTTGCAAAAGTTTTCTGCTCGCAGTGGGCCACGTCTTTCGCTTTTGCCCCAGGAACTCCGAAACGTTTCTAGATATAAAATTATATTTTTTCCACAGGAAATTTTCTTCAGAAAGCTTACAGTCACAAGAGGTCTTATATATACAAAAGTATGCAAAAGTATAAAATGTCCATGTTAAAAAAGTTACGGGCTGCCCAATCACACACTTACCGCCTTGGACCCAGAGTACGAAAAACGAAAAGAGGAAATTTAGAACTGCCTCTGCGGAGCGGATCATATGACTGCGTTTTCACTAGGAAGGAGCTTCGAGAAGTTGTTTTTCTCAAACAAAAATAATAATGGTGGCGATATGCGAGCATTGATACACGTCTAGATAGATTCATGCACGTTTCAATAGAGGTTGGTGTGAATAATATTTCCAAATGGTTGTGGATACAGGTATTTGTTTATTTTGTCTTAAAGTATCATCTGGTTCTCTTTACAGACTATCATTGCAATGATGAAGCCCCGTATGCTTGGGCGAAATTAGCCTTCACTGATTTACGTGTATTTATTGTTGTTTATTCTCGACGTATTGCGGTGTTTCTTATTTGCTACATTATCATTGAAACGTTCTTGTCAAGTCTAGAGAGCAGTGTCTGGCTTGAAAAGGCCAATATGTCAAATCATTCAAATGAAAATGCTCCATATTTCGTTTTGACTTATTCTGTTCGGTATTTAAACTGGTCGTGATCTTTCTTTGTGTTGATGTAACATTTACCCTTTATTTCAATATAGTTATTCCAATTTGTTTACATACAACATGTTCTTTTAACACATTGAAGCTCGTGCGTAACTACAATATATAAATCTTGCTAAAAACCAAGTTTGTCTTTTGAAAAAATGCCAATTGATTAGGATTTTCAGCGTTTAATAAACATTATGACTTGTTGCGAGTTGATCACCTAAATAAACAGCATGAGAACCATCGTACTGTCAGAAGTTGAAAAAATTGCTGTCAAAATAATTTCGGTAATGCTCCAATCATGTCTTGTAAGGTTATGGAGAAGGGTTAAAAAATTTGAAAAACAAATATCGGTTTAGCTTTCATAGATGCTAGCAGCTACCCCCTTCCAAATTTTATGTGCTTTAGTACCCAAAAATGTTTAAGAAAGCCCTTTTAGGTGGAATGAAGGTAACACGCGAGCAACTTATTTTCAGAGGTGGAGCTAGGAAAATATCTAGGGTATGTGAGATGGGAGAAAGGAGGAAGGGGGTTAAGGAAGCACTCCCCCCAAAAAAATTTAGAGGTCCCCATCCTATAGGCTACCACAGTATGGCCAGGGAATTGTTTCAAAATAATCATGATTTAAGTTCCAAAAAATATAACTGACCCTAAGTAAATTTTGTGAAGTACTCACAGAGCCTTTAATAAGTGCTGTAACACACTGTGAGAGCCATTCTTAGTCTTTATTTTGCCCCTTGGAAGCTTGCTGCCAAAACCAAATAGCATGCACATATTGCATACTATGTCAGCATTATGTCACACATTTTGTTTGCTTTTGCACACACAAGGTTGTATATTGATGAATTTTTGATCCAGGTAACTTTATGATGGGGCAGAAGTACACCTTTTTCTTTGCTGCCAAGGAAGGGCGTCTAAGTGACTTGGTCTGGGTGCTAAACCAAAAGAATGCATCACCAAACATTCGAGATGGAGAAGATCAGTCGACTGCGCTGCATTTTACATCTGCAAGGGGCCATGCAAGATGTGCTGATATTCTCATTAAAGCAGGTTAGCCTTTATACCCTTCCATCCCTTTCAGAAGATTTTTAGATGCATTTATAGGTTTTGATCAGGCCTTTTTGTTTGATAGACACTTGCACAAATCTATCTCTGTGAGCTTTTCATTGCTCATGCAAAAAGGTAATTTATGTGGAATTTTGCACTGTGTTTTTGAAAAACTCATTCACTTTCTTGTCGAGTAGTGCGAATATTTCATCAACAAACATATTTCCTGTTGTGGCCCAAGCAAGCTACATAAACAGTACAAAGCTGGTAGATCAAACCACAGGAAACATAACTAAAATGAATTAGCAACATCTCAACAGATAATATCACACGTAACATCTCAACCACCCACAATTGATTTGACCCAGATGGAGCTTGATGAATGCAAGTGAAGGTGCAGGAGAAAATGACAAATCAATGGACAGTCATCTTGCTTTAAGCTGGAAGAAAACTCTGAAGGAAATTTTTTTCTACAAAAAGAAGACCTTACAATTTGATTGCCTTTTAAATGTAATGTAGTTGAAGAGGAAAAGGTTATGAAAACAGATGAAAACAGAGTATTGGGAACACTATCGTTTTTATTTTGACCAAAATAGAGTGGCCCCGAGAAATTGGAATCGCAGAAATTTCAAAAACAAAATGATCCGAAAACAGAGACATACAAAAACAGAGTAATGGAAACAGAGCCTTAATAAGTGATTATGCTCCCAGAAAATGCCATCAAGATAATGCACAGAAAAGAAATAAAAAATTTAGATAAAAACAAACAAGAAAGATCAATCAAAACGTGGCACTGCAAATATGATAAAAAGCATTTCTGAGGAGTTTCTTGAGTGTTTGGAAGCGTACAGGTGTTTGCACACCTAATATTATCAGGCTTGGGCCTTTGGGAAAAAATTCTTTGTTGTTTCTAAAAGACTGAACACCCCTATAACAGGTTGAACACTCCAAGAACACCCTATGAACAAGCCATTCAGTGGCTGAACACCCTTTAAGACATATCAAAATTGGCATATCATTTGAAAAATAATTTGGCCAATCAATTAAAATTGATTTTGGAGCAGGAAAGGCCCTGATAAGTCTAATGCTGTTGGTGTTGTTGCAACTAACTGAGATGTTTTATACCTCAGAAGTGTGAACGGGGGTTATATCATCAACTGAAGCCTGGAGCGATCTTCATTAACGAGTGAAAAATTGATATATTAGCACTAGCTATATTAGCATACCATGACCACAGAATAGTTATTTCTATGTTGTGACCACATGGGCAAATTAGCGGATGGGAAAAAAAATTGTCTGGAGGACAGTAGGAAGTCAAGTCACATGCTGTATTTTTACATCATTTATTGTCACTGGATGTGAAAGAGTTTCAAAACAAAGGCAATTCGCTTGAATGCACAAAGGGAGCGTCAGAAAGTCAAACTCAAATTTGCTCTGCATGTATAAACCCTACTCACACCTTTGGCGCACAAAACATCAGTTGGTTGTAACAACACCAACAGCATTAGACTTAGCAGGCCCTTTCCTGCCCCAAAATTAATTTCAATTGATTGACCAAATTATTTTTCGAATGATATGCTGATTTTGATATGCTTTAAAGGGTGTTCAGCCTCCTAATGGGGATTTTATGGCTTGTTCTTAGGGTGTTCTTGGGGGTGTTCAGTCTTTTAGAAAAAAAACAAAAAATTATTGCATTCAAAGGAAAGGCATTTACAATTTTCTGTGCCCTTGTTGAAATAATTATATCTATGAGCAGAACCAATTCTGCCATCAAGAGAGGGTTTAGCCTGCTGACGAACATTTTGTCAGAAAGAAGCTTTGATGTTTGCGGTCAGCGACAACAACTGGTCTCAAAAGAGCAGGTAGATATCCTTGAAAGAGCATAGGATATTTACCCGGAAGGCAGCAAAAGACTAAAGTGAATGAACCAGCAGCCAAAAGGCTGCACCTAGATGTGAATATACAAGAAGAGAAAAATAAAATTAGTTACAATGAAACTGATCATAAACTCAGAGTTTTCAACAATAGCGAGTGAACTCTGAGAAAATATTGTTCAATGGATATTGGAAATCTAAGCTAACAAACATTGTTATTTATTTCAATAAAATTCTAAAAGCTGCCAATATAATCCCAGAATGATGTACATTGATGACATTCATGGTGTAAATTTATAAAGGATAGCGTGTTTAGACAAGTTTTTATTCATATAAAATTTATTCACACAAGAGAGATCACACAAGCTCTGGTCCACTCTATGAGCAATTCCTTACCAAAAGGCCTGATTTAGATGAGAAAGGGTCGTGCGACAGACTCATTCATTTCAATAATATTTGCTGTCCGTAAACTCTCGTCATTAGCCAGATTGCCTAGAAACAGAATATTTTCTAATATTGAATATTTAGTTTTAATTGAAATTTCAAGTTTTTGAAAAATTGTAATAAACTGATCTCTTGTGTGGTTTTGCCATACTCTGTATGCTTGCTGTTTTGTTCTCAGATGAAAAATTCTTCAATATATCTTTTAATCAGGAGTGAATACATTTCCTTAGGTGCCCATGTAAATTGTAGAACAACAGAGGGGATGACTCCTTTGCATTTTGCAACATATGGAGGCCATGTTGAATGTGTTCGTATTCTGTTAAAAGCCAAAGCTGATGTGCATGCTACTACAAGGTTTGAGAAAATAGAAGATAATTCTACTTTTATTTTGCAAATGAGTTTGAATATATCTATTATTGATCAGAAAGCAAACATCATCCAAGACTTGTATAATCTTACTTATAAATCCCATAATATATGCTAGATTGCAATGGTTACAAATTATGTAAAGTTTTTCTATATGAAATGCTTTTAATCGGTAAGTTCTCAATTCAATGAAACAGAAGCAAAATATCTAAAATATATCTATTGTTCTACAAAAGCAACTTATGGTTTATAGATTTTCTTCAAAAAGGTTGTTTAAAATTAGCAAAGGTTCAAGTGCGATGTCTGGAAGTTTCTTTATTTTTTTCTAGATTTGGTTGTACTGCTTTGCACCAGGCTGTATTTTTCAATAGGCATAAATGTGCCGAAATTATTTTAGAAAATGGAGGTGGCATAAATACACAAGAAAATTGGGGTCTCACACCTCTAGCAATCGCATCACAGAAAGGGAACAGGTATGAAATGTTAAAACATTTTTATATTCAGTTATAAAGTATTGTGGTTGATTTTAGTAGTAGTATAAAGCAGTATACTTCTTTATTTTATTCATACACTTTATCCAAAGGCGGTATATGAAGGAACAGTTGAACAAACATTTTGCAATTTATTTTGAATCTATACGAAGAGAAAGTTTAAGATATCCTTACAGACCTTGTAAGGAGCACAAAAGTAGGCCTATCCAAAACAGAGATATTATCAAATATATTTGATAATATATTATCAAATACCATCAATTACAAATTCAATCTTTTGAATTTAGTTTTAGACAGCAAACGCTTAGTAGATGCTTGTTTGAACGAGCTTGATTTAGCTCGTATGCCTCCCTCTCCTCACAAAGCTTGCACAAATAATTTGAAATTTTTGAAAATGTTAGAATTCTTCAAATTTTCTTGCAAATATGAATCTGAATATGAATATTAGCAATGTCTGCATAACAAGACTGATCAGCTATTATTACTTTTATAGGCAATGTATATATAATGGCCATGGATTGGTCAAAAGGTATTATAGATAGCATTTTAAAATGATGAAATGCTTGTGAGTGAACATTATTGAAATTAGTGTTTCTAGAGCTAAATAAGAGGCTGATGGCATGTTAAAAATTCATATGGAAATCCATAAGTAGAAGGAGCAAAAAGAGCCTCAACCTCCCCCTCAAAATGAAAAAGGGGGGAAGACTCTTCTTTCAATTAAGCTTGTTGGTTAAATATGTTTATTGACTTTAATTTGATTTCAAAATAGTCTAATATCAATGGTTCAGATAAAGGTTCAGTAACCTACTATCTTCTTTATTATTTTATTCTGTTCAATTTTCTCTCAAAAATTTTGTATATTAACATTTGATGGTGTAAGTGAGTACACTTACCTTGTAATATGTGCCAATGATAAATTTTAAAAAAACTGCCTGATGAGTGTGCAAGTATGAAACTCAGAGTAACAGCAAACATGTCTCAATTTTAGCCAAACTTCTACTATAACTTAAAAGTTATGAACATAAAAAAAAAGTCTCACTGCTATGATGTACCTAACGATAACAGTTATTTTGTGTCAGCTTTGCTAAAAAAGCCTTGCTAAAAAGCCTTGCTAAAAAGCCTTGCTAAAAAGCCTTGCTAAAAAGCCTTGCTAAAAAGCCTTGCTAAAAAGCCTTGCTAAAAAGCCTTGCTAAAAAGCCTTGCTAAAAAGCCTTGCTAAAAAAGTCTTGCTGAAAAAGTCTTGCTAAAAAGCCTTGCTAAAAAAGCCTTGCTGAAAAAGTCTTGCTAAAAAAGCCTTGCTAATTAGAGTGTGGTAGTTTTTGTTATATCATGCACATTTATACAGGCATCGCGCACCAGTCTAGAAGTGGGCGGGCTGAAAAGGGCGTGATCGAAAATTTTTGAGTATTTTTGAGAACGCCAAAAATGCCCCTTTTAGAAAGTACTTCCTTCCTTCCACTTGTTATTTAAAAACAGTGCGATCAAGAGAAGATACCAGTTACTATAAAAATAGATTTCGCAAAACAAGACACCAAGAACAGGAACAAAAAAGGGTTCCCAGTCAAGAAGAACTACTACTACTCAGGATTTGTTAGAGTAAACTTTCCAAAATGCATTAAAGTAAGCTTTCCGCAAATTGTCTAACCTTCTATTGGAAAAAAGTGGGGGGGGGGCTATAGCCCCTGCTAGCCCAATGGCTGCACGGTGCCTGCATGTTTCAAAGCGTCGAAAAGTAATTTCGTTTTATTTAATCAACAAATGAATTCGTGTAGTAAAGACAATCCAGATAATTAGGAAATGATGGCTACAATATTCCTGTCCAAATTGAAGATTTGTGAAATTGTGTTTTTGTGAATATTGATGCAAGTCTTTTAAGTGATGTTTAGATTTTTAAGTGTCTTTTTTATGTATTTTTCAAGCGAAATGGTGAAAATGCTTCTTTCCAAGAATGCATCAACAGGCCTGCGAGGAAAACTCGATGGAAAGACTCCACTTCATATTTGCATAGAGAACAATTATATTGATTGTGCATTGGCACTTCTTGATGCAGGGGCTGACCCTAATATCCAAGACAGCACCGGACAAACTACATTGCACTATGGTGAGTCCCAACGCTTTCAATTTCTGCTCTTAGCAAAGACTTACATCTCTCCAGTCCTTTCCGTTTTGCTACATAGAAGCTATTTTATAGCAAAAAACTTGCAAAACCAAAGCCTTAACTGCAGTATGTAGATTTTTTTTCATTCCATAGTGCTTTAAAAAGATGGTGTCAAAAATCAAATTTTAGAATATTTGAATTTTGACCGCATAACTTAAAGGAGAATCTGTTAGAACAGTTATCCGCGTTAGCAAGCTTCAGATCTTTCATTGGCCGTATGTCACCAAGTTATCATCATACTTAACTGAATTTTTCATATTTCAAGGTTTCCCCACAATGCTTTTTAAAGTTATGCATTCAAAAGTTAAACAATTCTTAAAATAGTTTACGTAGCATCACACTGTGGAACTCTATCGAAGAGGCTGTCAAAAATTAAAGAAATATTGAAAGTGGAAAAGTGGAAACATGTGGATCGTGCTATTTTCAAAGTTTGCGGTACCAAAGGCTTATTTGCCTATTTGAATAGTCCCATAGATGGTTCAAAAAATTTAGACGGTAGGACTCACAACTCAATGGAAGTGGGATAGGATAAAACAACATGTTCCTTCTGGCATAAGAAACAAAAATGTCCCTTAAAGAGAACAGCCTCCTAAAGCTTGTAGGTCAACTCAAAAAACACTGTTAAACTTCTTTCGGGCAACATCTTTTAGATAACCCAGATTGTGCCAAGGTCTATAATGACGACGACATGTTTCAGATAATTGGCAGAGCCCGGTATTTTCTTCTTCTAGCGGTTTTGGTAGCGACCCACATTAAACCGAAAAAGAAGATAGATTAAGTTCGTTTTCATCCCTGGAATCCAATGGTAATTTCCTACAGGCACGCGGCACTGATTGGGTAACTATACCGGTCATGTGCACACGTTCTTCTGATTTGCCTTTTTCGATCAACAACTGGGCAGATATTTTCTTTCATGATCTTTATTGCCCTTATTCTGAAGTTTTATACTCTGCTGAAGGGTGTCAGCTTTCAAAACCATTTTCTTCATATTCTATACACAATCCTGCTTTTCGTAAGGAAAGCCTAATTCATTCTGTGCTTTGTTCCTACTGGAAGGAAAATACTTATGAATCGGCAAGGAGATATGTTTATTATAAAGATATTTTGTTTGTCTACATATTCATTGTACCTTCTTTCATCTCCACTAGCATGCAGAAATGAGAAGGCCGATTCCATGGTGCCAATTTTACTGGAATATGGTGCTAACCCTTGCTTGATGGACAAAAACAAAGAAACTGCTCTGGAAATGCTGTCTAACCCAAAGAATAGAAATGTTTCATCGAGTACCAAAGATGCTTTAGAGAACAATCTCAAATTTTCTGAAGGTAACCCAAACTTTTACCATTGAAGGCGTGCTACGTGTTGTATAATTTTAAGTTCTTTGTTCTCAAATCTCTATTTATTAGACTTTACTAAGTTCACCAGAGCTTTCAAAATGAAATTAAGCCAAGCAGCCTCCTGTTTAACTCACAGTGATCTTGAAGAGAATAAGCGAACGTCAATTCTGTTATTCTGAAAACAATTTGCCATTGTCATTGGATTGAGCTGAATCTAAGAACATTGTATGGAATGTCTGGTAGAAAACATTTTTCGACGTACTGGCCTTTTAGGCAAGAGTTTGGCTGGCCCATAAAATTATTGGTTTACTACAGACTTGTTCTTGCTATCTCTGGAGCTGATCATGGAAGACCTAGAATGAGAACATTTACTTGTAGGGAGAAATAGTTCCTTTATTCAGAAGAATGTTTTTCAACGACTCACGAGAATGTGAACCAGTCTGTTTATACTTTTTGAGAACCAATGAGAACCGATGTGGACTAATAATACAATATGAAAGCTTTTCCTCTTGATTGGTGCTCTTTTGAGATTCTAACTCCGTAATTATTTGCAGCAATTTGTTTTTAAGCAGCTTTAGTTTTCAGTCAATTTCGGAAATGATCCATAATTTCGAATAAAACATTTTTTACAGGAAAACCAAGATCTCTACAGACACATTGTCGTGTAATGGTCCGAAGGACAATTGGACCTTCAAATGGCAAATCCATCGAAGAATTGCCTTTGCCAAGCCATTTAATTCGTTATCTTAGATTTGATGGACTGCTATAGAACTGAATCAGTTTTAGCAAATCTGCAAAAGCCTTTGACAGAACTAATTTATTGGCCACAATACTTTAAAAATATCAAATTCTCACCACCCTAGATATGCCTTAGAGGAAAGTTGATACCTAAATCGCTAGAGTTAACAACCATTGGTTCACCTGCAAGGACTCGCATGCTAGAAAAAAAAATCAAGGTTGTGTTAATATTAGTTCATATTTCGACATGTTTTGGTGTTTAGGAAAAACAGCCTGCTTTGTTTTTTCGTGCTTCAATTTTGATGTTAGGCGTTATTTTTTCTCGTTACAAACCTTTTATCATCCACAGACACCATTCGGCTATCCTATTTCTCAGGGCACGCCCCAACAATACCAAACGGGGATAGCAGCAATGTAAATAAAATGTCATGTTGCCCCTAACCCCCATCATAGGAATGTTTTTGCTGACGCCATTTCTCTTGTGTATTTTGATTCAATACATCTGTTTTAATTTACAGGTTTATCTATGTAAATATTCCTATATAAATAGTCTTTCATTTAGCAGAGAAATCTCCTTCCTGTGGTGAGGGCCCTGAGGCTAAACTTGTTTAATATGCATGTGTTCATAGGCTTGCTAAACAACAGTCTTTTAATTTTGTGTACAGATAGTATTGCATTTTGATAATGCTTTATGTATGGCGTAGTTACGAATGAAAAGGCCTAAAATACTTGTTGTCGTTTATATATTTTATTAAAATGGTGCTACTAGTATGGCATCTTTGCTGATGCAGAATGTAAACTTTGTTTCAGTCTTTATGCATGGCTGAACTTGCGCTTATCTGATGAATGTTAACTTGCACACAGATTGAAATGGATGAAATAGAGCTGCAATTGGCAAACCAATAAAAAGTGATTCAATAGGAAATTTCTATCGAAAATCTTCTGATACACTGCTTGCATATTTGGCTGAAGGACAATTGAAGCACATGCTAAAATAATAGGATGAGAAACTTGGTAAACAGAGATAATAAAATAGATTTATTTCCCAGTTTGATCTTGATTTTCTTTTCTTTCTCAGAGAAGCCAAAATTAAGTAAAACAAAAATTGTGGATATTTAAGCTAGTGTAGAGCCTCGAGTGTCTCTGTAACTTCACCTTGAATTAGACATTTCTTTAAAGTAACAAAAGCCTTATTCTGTATAAAAGAAGGGGAATTTCTTGAAAATGATCACCAGTAGTATCTTGCATATTTTAAATGACTTGAATGATCAAATGACTTGTGATATAGTTTATCATTAATCTACTAGCGATAAAAACTGTATTTCCTTTTTTGCTGTTTCTTTGAAACAAATGGAAATAGGATGCAAAAAATTCACAGTAAGAGCCCTTGTGAAAAGTTTACCTACATGGCAAGAAAATGGATGTCACTTTTTGTGTATTTGCATCAATTCCAAAGCTTGACAATTGTCAGTCATGTTGTATAATCTGAGAAAATGCAACTTTCATTTAAAACTATTGCTTCTGTTTCAATGGAATTATGTCAAGCCTCCAGACTTTAATATTAATATATCAAAAACGAAAAGTGCTATCAGAAAAGCTGTTGATTCTCTCAGCAAGGCAAACAGGACTCAAAAATGGCATTTTTTCTAAAGCCAAATTACAGAAATTGAACTTATAAAATTTTTAGCTTTAAAAATTGAATTTTCTGGAACATATTAAACAGCTTTTTGCTTATCTTGGCTTTCTTTAAAAATTTTACTGCTTTGAAATTCCAAATTGATAACCAAGAGTATACAATCTGATATGATTGTATGTTTCCTGTTATTTTTTCACCATAGTTGCAGGAAAAGAGACACTTCCCACTTAAATACAGACAAAAATATTTGAAATTGTAATATTGATATTGAAATTCTCCTTGTTAATTGTGATCAATAAGTTTTATTTAGAATAAATAAATAATTGAAATATGTTCTAACTTTGGTCATATTGAACAGATGAATCGTGCTGGATAATCTGCCTGGCAACTTTTTTTAAGCTTTGCTATTCACTTGGGATTGGTGTGTTGCAGTTGCCATGCAAGACATAGTATGGGGCATCACATTTAAAGTACATGTCAAATACATGTTGGTAGCCATGGTTTTTCCACCAGGTGCATAACTGTCTGTTCCATTGGCAAGGAAGGTTGTAAAACAAATGTGGATAATCAAAGCTGATTAATGAGTAAAAATCTTGGTCACCAAGGTGTCCTTTGAAATCATATTTTTTGGCCAGCCTAGAGGCATTTTGTCCTTGAATCAACTGATTGTAAAGCTTGCTGTTTCTCATTTCTTCTACATTTACCAGCTTCACACCACTGTTGAAACCAGTTAGACCATCTGGTGGAGGACCACCAACTTTGGTTCCAGGATTCTTGTTCCGATAGCTCCAAAGGACATGTCTAAAAAATCAGAATATCTTAGAGAAAAGTTGCATTAATTCAACACAGCGCAAAAAAAACAATTAGCTTTTTTTTCTAGACCTAAAGGATTTTTTAATGTAGTGATACCCATTGATAGATTTATTTTTAAAAGAATGTCAAAACACTTTATGTCGCACCTGTATGGAATGAACTCTTTTTACACAAATCAGGATCCTCTTAAATCAAAATCTCAAATCAATTTATATATTAAACAGATTTCAAAACTCCTAAATGAAACAATGACTTTGTTTGCCCAATGATTTTTAAATTGTTCTCACTATATGTTTTGGCACATTCTAGATTTGTAAGTAAGTGTTGACCAATTGCAGAATTACATTTTATTTGGGGATTTTAGCTTCTGCAAATACACCATGGCTGTTCTCTTTTTTGAACCGTTTTTTGCCTGCTGCTGGCGAGAACATGCTGTTTTACTCTATCCATTAATTTCTGACTAGTGTGCTCTAGAAACCGAGCTTCACATCAGCATAAAAATTTATAAACAACTAAACTATTTTGATTAGCAACTACCTGCCTGATTCAAACTAATAGGGATTGCCTGGAATATTTTGCATTTTAAATCAGCAAAATTCATGTAAAGGAACTCTATACATCAAATTGGCATGTACAATATTGAAATGCTGATTAAATATAAAACCAACAAACCTATAAACAGGTTGCTGATCAGTTGCAAGAGCCATTATGGCCCTTTCAGACATGCTGTCAAACAATCGAAAGAGGTCCTTAATGTCTGCCCGGAACTGCAGGTCTGTATCAAGCATAACAACACGTTTAATATTTTTTGGCAAAATCTTGTGTATTACTGGTGCAATGAAGAATATGGCATGACTATAATATGCTCCTTCTCCGCTGCTGAATAGTTGCTGTGAAAATGAAAATATGACCTTTATCAATACAGCTATTATTACATCATTGCCAAAAGGTTCATGGATATCCTTGGGAACTATCAAACTTTCTTAAATATGCACAGGATGTCTCTTGAAAACTAAAATGAAAAATCTGGCAAAAGTGAAATTTTTTCATTTGAAAACTTAATAAAACAGCTTAAAGTAAAAAAACTCAAAGCTATCAGCTGATACAACAAATAGACTGTATTTAGCAGTTGAGAAACCCCCATTTATAATTATTTTTTGACAAGTTTTGCTATGTGTGTTTTATTTTGTTGGATAATTTTGCTGGATGATATTGCTGCTACTTGAATATGTCTTTCAATGTCTATTTTTACACAGAGGTAGTTTTTGAACATGTAGGAAGCTTTTCATCTGTCATCAAAAAACAAGTACCATAAAATTCAAGCCCCTTCTCTATTAAGCCTCTTAAGCATTTAATGTCAAACAAAGAAAACATGTGCATTGGGTGGGTCTCTTGAAAGGTGTGGATTGTGTGCATTAAATACAGCTCATCTAAATATTCATTTGTGCACCTAAGAAGTCAGTTGAAATTTGTTTAGAAGATCTCCCAGGCAGTGGCGGACACTTGGGGGACAAGAGGGGGTGACGGCCCCCCAATACTTTAGAGGACAATGGTCTTTTGTTTAAAACAATGAGAAATGTGACGTCACCTTATTAAAACAATAGGCTTGCCCCCCCCCCCAATAATTGATCAAGTGTCCGCCCCTGCTCCCAGGGGAAATCAATTGATCCTGGTGACTCTGAGGAAGATGAGGACAATACAATTGATAGGTTTTTAGAAATTTTTGAAGCTGCTAGCGAAGTTTTTGAGAACAATTGTATGACATTTTCATAACAGAAATGCATAAGGGGATTTCTATCATACTTTTACATTGAACTATAAATAACCCCCCTCTAATAAGCCCCCATCTCTTTTAAGCCCTCTCTCAAGGACTGAAGAAAATAAATAAGTCCCCTGGGGGCTTAATGGAGCTTTTACAGTATCTATGCATGGTGTTGTGGGTCCTGCTTATAATCAGGGGCAGCTTACATTCTTTTTTCTTATGAACTCATTTTCTAGGGCTTATAATCAAGGCCAGTTTGTAATAGAATAAATACAGTATCTTAAAATGAGAAACAAGTACAGCTCTGTCTCCATGGCATCAAGCACTTTATAAAAAACCAGTAAAAAGTTACTTTTGTCATGATGCCAACTATATCATTAAGGCATGTAAAGTATTTAACAATATTAATTCGTAATTTTCAACATGCCATTGCCCTTCAGTTGGTGAAATGAAACCCAAAATGTTTTTGATCTATGGCTTCATTAGTAAAATTTCCTATTGATGGTCCTCTGCCCCTATAAAAAATCAGTTCTTTACTAATACACTAGCAACATGACTTAAAGAATATTTAGCAGAGTATATCAAAATAAAGTACTGAAACACAAATTTTGATTATATTGGTGTATGGGAATGAGAGATGATGAAAAGAAGGCATCTTTGAACACTGGCAGCCTTCTCAGGAACCATTGTTTTATTTTCCAATCAATCAAAAGCAAACCAATCAAAACAAAGGGAGTTGCTTTCTTGTATAAACATTTACTATAAAGTTGCACTCATTTTATAATTACCTATACTGTAATTTATAATAAGTAGTACATTCTAGCCTTGGTGACAGTCGAAATCATTAAGTAGAAACCTATGTGACTTTCTGGTGTGACTGTTGGCGTTTATCAACGCTCAAGGATCCAGTATGAATTCCATGGCAACTGCATTCCCAAGAGATTTTTGTTAAAAAATTGGTTTCCCCCTGTACACCCGAAAGATGGACGTGGTTTGGGCATGTTTTTGGATGTGGTTCAAATTAGAAAGTTTTTTCAAATATGGCAAAATGACTTTGTAAATTTTTCCACAACTGAGATTGGAAAAGAATGTGTCATTCTAAATTGAGTGAGCTGGAAAAACTGCAAAAACTTTTCAGTTGGGCTGAGGCAAAACTGAAAAAGAAAGGCCCCTTTGCAAGCAAAGCGAGCAGAAAATTTTTGTGACTTTCTTTAGATTGGCTGCAGACTAGGCTGCAGAATATCATTTGCAGTCATTTTCTTGCAATTGTTTCAATATTACTTTGTTTCAATTGTTTCATTGTCATATTTTACTATTATTTCCATTCTATAAACAGATTACTATTATTCAACTATAAACAAATGAATTCCATTCTTAAAATTGAATTCCTTTTTTATGAGGTTCCCTAGACATCAAGGACCTTAGGCAATTTGCCCCCTTGCCCCCCTTTCTGTGGCTTTGCTTGTGAGATCATATTTTTGGCCCTTTTAAACATAATGCCTTTTTATGATTATTTTAAAAAATAATGATTATTTTTTTAAGTTATCTCTTTACTTGCCAAATCTTTAGGAATTTTAATAACGGCCATTGATGGTGGTGATAGGTAAGCATAGTTCAATTTTAAATCAGGATTTCCCAGAGATGTGAAATGGATGTAAACAGGAAAAGTGCCGCACAAAATATGCACACACTCAAGAATCACTGAGAAATTTGATATTGCACTCCCAGGTAATAGCTTGTGCACTCCCGAGATCTCGTCAAAAACTGGCATGAAATCCAGACCAAGGATTGTTGTCAACCAACAACAGATGGTGCAAGCAAAATGTCAGAACAATTTGGATTTCATACACCCTTTACTCCTGTCAGATATACTGCTGAATTCAAAACCTGTTACCTGCAATGCCTTTGTGTATGGGAAAACTTTTTCATTCACTTGTTCAATTGGGAAGTATGTCCTGTTTGGCATTTTCTCTTTCTTCAGGTTCAGGTCATGGGCAACTTCTTGAAACACTTTCTCTGCTGTAGCTTTGCTAACATCGTCAACAGTGAGCAAAAATTTCAAATCTAGCTTTGTTCTTTTCATTATTGATTTAATACAATTGTAGAAATTATCCGCAAATTTACTTCCACTATGAGCATTGACAAGTTGAAGCAAAACAAAATATTCTGCATTTTCAGTTGCAGTGTTAACTTTCTGTTCTCCATTTTCTGTTTTCCTTTTCGCAACTACGATATTTTGTTTATCCTTCTCAACTTCGGACGTTTTTTCAAAAGATTTAGCTTCATCATTTTCTTGAGATAACTTCTGGGGTATCCTATCTTGAAACCTACCACTTTTGATTGAAGGCATTCTGTTTGAATCGCTCAAAACATCTTGAAATTCCTCAGTTTGTTTAACCTCTTTAACATCAAATTCAACATTTTTGAAAGCCTCTTCTTTCCAAAATGAGCCTCTGTAATAGGTCCCAATTAAGAACAACGTTGCTGTTGAGAAAATGCACAAAAGAAATGTCATCGTCAAGCCGCATTTCGGCCTAACCAGCTTCCCCAGATTGGACATAACTCTAGCTTTGTATGGTGATGTATTTTTCTCCAGACTTCCATCACCATACCTGAGCTTTGCTCTTCTCATTTTCCGTATTTTTAAGCATAGAATTCTTCATTTGAATTTGTTTGCTCTCAATTCGCTTCGAAGCTCCTTGCCATATGTTTATGAATAGACTCATCTTTGAAATCGCGTTCGCGTTTCCCACCAAAACAACAGCAACAACAAAAAGATTGACAAAATACACCAATTCGACTTACGACCTCGTTTTGGAAATTTCTCCAAACTTAATTATACGACTTTTTTAAGCGCAGATTTGGTTTTATCGCCATAATTTTAGGCGGGATACCATTTTTGATATTGTTTCAGATTGTATTTTAGATTTCACGGAGAAATGAAGTTTGAAAACTTGTAAAGGATTTGACCGCAAAAATCGTTCCGGGGGAAACTTTACCCCCCTAGTCGCCAATCACGGTCAAATCCCTTATAAAGTTTTTATCTTCATGTCGTCATAAACTCAATATCGTGAGCAATATGATAATGGAAACTTACAATTAGACTAAAATCATTGCTCTCAATCTGAATATGAGGTCAAAAATTTTATACAAATAAATTTTGAAGAATTTTTCAAAACGAGGCCGTAAGTCAAATTGGTGTAAAAATTTCATCGTGACAAAATTTCGGACAAATATTTTGACGAAATTTTCGTCGACGAAATTCAAAATGAGACGAAATTTGGTCACGACGAAATTTTTTGCATTTAAGATATTTGAGAATTCGCATAGAAAAACTCTTACATGAGGTGACGAATCAAATTATTGTATCCTTTTTATCTCTTCAATGTCTTTTCCTCATTTACATCGTCTTCATGATTATTCTTATTATGATCATCATCATCATTGTCGGTTCTTGAATTATCTTCATTATAACTATTGTTCAATAAAAATAGTTCTAACTTAGCGAGAGGGAGGCAAGAGAGGCGGGTGCCCCCCATAGCAAAAAATATCTTTGAAAAAGGCGTTTTTGGCGTTTAAAAGCGTGTGGACTCCAATTTTCCTTTGATCAACTCACTTTTGCCCCCCCCTCCCCCTCAAATCTTACCACCCTGGCTACCTGTTCTAGAACTGTCTTTTGTCGCCCGTCTCAAAAGTTTCCACCTCTGTCTTTTTATGCTCAACTGTACTATTTTAGTGTAACGAGAATTGAGCCTTGTTATGTGCGATTCGTTCACTAATAAAACCATCCTTGACTAACGTGTCATTTCCAACCCAGCGTGTCTTATTTTACGTGCAGAGAACACGGAGCCAGTGAGAGAGACAGTGTGTTGCCTGTGTAACTCTGATGTGAACTGAACTATGAACTGAACTAACTTACATAAAAATTAACATGCTTATATACAGAAATGAATATCTAGAATTAACACTAATGATGTAAGGAAAACAACGGATAGGAAGGGCTAGGCTAAGTGTGAATAGTTTATGAATTGAGATTTAGGTAGATGTGTAGGGTTAATGAGGGCCTAAACAAAAGAGAGGAAATGTTGACATAGTGATATGTTCGTAGAGTGTAGTGATGAGGTAGTGATGTAAAGAAATTACTGTAGGTAAAATAAACAAAGTAAAAATGGATGGCGATAGGTGAGGAAAAATTAGAATGAATGGAATCACTACACTATTTCTTTCATTCGTTCAAGGTATTTGCATATTTCAACCCAAATTTTGAACTCTACAGAAAACAAAATTACGAGACCAACTTTTCCTGTTGGATGGTCTTATGCTTTCCGAATCTTATACTTATATTCACACTAATGCTTTTAATTATACTCTGTTTATAAACTTTCATGCCGTATAAATATGGAGTAGAGAATCTTTGAATGCTGAAAGCGTCTCTTTTGACCGCTTTAATTTGATTTTTCGGACATGCTGTTCTGTGTAAAAAAGCAGCCTGGTGTGTTGAATCAAAGCAACCTGTATTGTTTTGCCTCTGAAGATTTTGGTAAAAAGTTGCTATCATTGTGTTAAAAATCCACGACGAAATTTTGTCACGACGAAATTTTGAAAAGCTGTCCGAAAACATTTTCGACGAAATTTATCCGCCGAAAATTTATTTGACGAAATTGTTTGTGGTAAATGTAGGATGAAACCATGAAATTGAGATTCTATATAGAGTATAGCCGGCGTGTCCAGACCCATACACAGGCTATATAGAGTACCAAAGATATGACGTCACAAAAATAGTATTTTTGGAATTTTTGAATTTCAATCCCATAACCCGAAAGAGCATCATTAAATAAATTATTTCTAGAACAAGATTTTTCTGCCACCAGCAGTGGCGGAAATTGCAATGGAGAAATTGTCGGTTTTGTTGGTAACATTATGTCATCTGTCAGCAAATTTGCTTGCTTTGTGGGCATTGCCCCCCCCCCTTACTTGAAAAATGAGCTTCCGCTACTGGCAACCAGCCATTGGCCATCACTAAACCCATCTACAGTCCTCACATTTTGGCCCCGCCACTTTCAAATACGTTTCGCCAGCCCCGTACCGTAAATCCTCGAATTTGCCCCCCCCCCTCGAATAATCCCCCACCCTAGAATTAAAAATTTTTATTAAGCCCCATCCTCGAATAAGCCCTACTGCTTCTGTAAATCCTTGAATTGGCCCCCTTAAATCTGATGACTTTTGGGCATCTGAGGTTGTCTTTTGCGTTTTATTGAATTACCTCAAAATTTATACTTTGCATGAAAACTAATTAATGCTCATAAATAAATTCCTGCTAAAATAAACGAGATCTTTTAATAATGTCTTCTTAATGTCTACAATAATTTTATAAGTCCCCCTCGTATAAGCCCTTCCCCTTCGAATAAGCCCTAATCCAAAAATATAAAAAATAAATAAGCCCCAGGGGGCTAGTTCGAGGATTTACGGTATATGGCCCTAATTGCTGAGCACTTGAAAAAATCAAAGCATACTTAGAGAAAATTTATTGACCTTTTAAGAAGAAACACCCTTTCTGTGCCATGAAACAAAAATCTTTTTATCTTGTTAGAACATATACCATAGAAAATAAGAATTTTCTACTGAAAAATCGAAACAGATGGGAATAAATACATTTTAAGATGCAAGATAGGGAATTTTGGAAGAGTATAAACGTCTCCGCGCATGACATACAAGAAGAATAATGGTCAGAAAATCTGTACTAATTTAATGGTAATTTCCTACATTCTAAACAGTAATGGAGCTAAATCCAGAAATAAGTTGACTAGCCTTAGCAGTCTATTTTTGTTACTAGAAAAGGTTTTTACCCAATTCTTTGTCCAAGTTTCTATGGCTTGTTTACTCTGAAAAGTGCCTGTATTTTTAGTAATTTCATTGGTCAACTTTCGTTAATAACTCTTTTCTATGATTAGTCTTGTGCCCTTAAGTTTTTATCAAAAATTTGGATGTCCACAAAACTACACTTCTTTCTATAAAATTATACATCTTAAACCATTAGAAAACCAATTTCAATTTTGTCTTGATCTTTGTGTTATTTTTTGCTGCATTATCCAATGTTCAATTACTAGTGTTGCTATGCTTATTGAGAAATTCTTTAATGTTGCATCATTATTTTCGGGCAATATTTTGAGGGGGCAAGCCTATTATTTTGATAAGATGACATCACATTTGTCCATTCTTTTTAGAATATAAAACCACTGTCTTCCAAAAATGTTTGGGCACAACTGCCTCCCTTCATCCCCTCTGGGTGTCTGCCACTTTTTATTGGTTATTGGTTGTTTCTATTCTCCTCTTAAAATTACGATAATTTTATTTAATCATTGCATCCATAAAAGACAGAAATCCGACAAATCTGAGAAATGGGCGTGGTCCGTCGGTCATAATGGATTTTGAGAATGTCAAATTTTTGTCTGGATCCGCCCTTGAACGTAACCCATGAACAACTCCTTTTTGCCTTATTTTGGTGCAATCAGGGGCGAAACTACCGGAGGGGTGTGGGGGGGGGGGGGGGGGGGGGAGACAGAATGCACACGAAATCTGTAGTCCAGTGGGTTAAGCAGTTGCGAGTCTAGTGAGTAGGAGGACCCACATCTTTGAATCCGACGTGGACAATTTCTTTTTGAATCTACCTACCCCTTGTAAAAAGGGACCTAAAAAAAGACAATCTTTCAGACCGAAAAAATTTAGCAAAATTACTAATTGTGCTAAAAAGAAGCTGACTTTGTTTTTATTGAAAATATTATTGTATTTATAAGAAAATTAGAGGGCGAGCATGCTAAAACTCTCAGTGTTAGGACGTTTGGGAACGCGAAAGGAAACGCAACCTTTACGTACATTCAGATTGCACGTAGTGTGAATGACAGAGAAGAATGTTGTTGCATTGAAAAGAAGAATAATATTTTCAACTGAACGAAATGTGCGCACCAAGTATATCTATGTATCAAGAAAGGCCAATGTTTACACATCCAAAATTAAACATTGCAATGATACAGAAAAATGATTAACTTGAAATTAATGCAAATAACCAAAGAAAATAATAAAAATTATACGCGAAAAAAAGTTAAGCAATTAGATGAAACAAAAATCGGAGTATCTTAAAACGATTTATTTTGTTTTTAGTTCCATAAGCACATGCTTAAAATAATAGAAAAAATGATAAAAAAATTCCTAATCTTGACCCAACAAGTGAGCGATTATCAGCCCCTTATTCCTCCCGCCGTGGCTTGTTCATGAAAATAATATTAACACATTAAAATTAATTTATATGGACATCAATCTGCCTCTCATAAACACTAAAATGCATCAATCATTTGCATCCAATTGGCATATGAACTTTCGGTAAGCAATGCTTTCGCTTTGCTAATAAACGAAGCTCTACCTGAAACATACCTTTTTCCGTTCTCTAAAATGCAATATACAGCAAGAAAGGGAGTTAAACAATAGCAAAATATAAATAAATTTCCATTTCAAAAATTCAAAAGTGAAACGAGCTCTTAAAAAATTACGAATATCCAGAAGGTGTATTTAAATGCGTGACAACAAAGCTCTGTCCTTGGCGCCCTGCGAAAATCATATCGTATTGCCCTGCGAAATCGACAATAATTTTGGTGGGGGTGTTCGACA